CGCCCACGGGCGACAGTCGGCGGGCCACCTTCCCAGCATGATGATTTTTATTGCCAATGCTGCCGCTGATGATGATGATGATGATGATGATGATGATGATGATGCCGATGATGCTGCTGCTGCTGCTGATGATGATGATGATGATGAAGCAGTTTGTCGGCTTTCGGCGGCATGCTGGACAGCTAACTGCAGCAGCAGGTCTCCAGAGATCATCGTGCAAGCGATCCTGACGAGGCAACGAAGTGAAAGCGCAACCGCAGCACCTTCGCAATCCCTTCGAAGACTCCATGTGTTTCTCTTCTCTGCCAGGCCCGGCGTGTCTCCGAGGACTGGAATCCGGGAAGCTGGTGTCAAGAGCTGTGAGCGAAATTCCAAGCCCAAGCCGGCGAAGGAGGGCGGCTTCGTTCGATTCGGCCGAGTTGGTGGTGCCCTGAGCGTCTCCCGATCGCTGGGGGACCACAACTTGAAGGCGCCGGCCCAGTAGCAGGGCTCTCCAGACAAGCATGCAGCGATGGTGCTGAGGATTCGATTTATCGCAATGTGCAGCACTTGAGATAATGCAAAGTTCGCTTCACCACGAGCGAAGCCGTGCTAGAATGGCATCTGCGGAATAGTTTAGGCAGTGAAGGAGCCATCATCATGAGCAGTGCTCCCTTTTAGTTTCTCATTTCGCAGCGCTTGACTATCGCTGGCTCGCATCTGGTTGGTATCTTGACAGGGTCGGACTTGCATGCCTGAGGGGGAGGGGCCAGCACAATGAGCATCATCCCTCTTCGTTTCGCCTGTCGCGGCACTCGATCTGGGGAGTTGGTGCCGTGGGGGTTTAAGGGCTTCGCGTGGATAGCTTTGGTTTGCAGAAGCCGGTTTTGTGCAGGGTGCCGGCGTGAGCTGCGTCCCAGACGTCTTCAGCTTCCCAGTCAACGTTGCCGGCTCAGATGCCAGGGCCGCCAGGGTGGAAGAGGGCTTTCCTTTGATCGGAGCATCGGACACCGCCACGATAGTTTTCATGCAGGACGGTGAAGCGTTGTTGGTTGCTTCTGCGCGACACCCAGTGAGACATCGCAGTGTGGGTAGTGTGCAAAGACACAAATTTCAGGGACTGGCCAATTGTTTGTTTACAGCTTACGGCACAGCGGCACATAGGCGTTCGCCCAGTTACGGCAGTTTCGAGGATGGGTTTTGGGATGCGCTGAGCGATGATGATGCTGGCGAGGCGCGCGGTGCATTCAGTGCATTCATGTATGATTTCCACGAGATCCCCGGATGCGGAGTCCTTCGCCAAGACATCGCTGCGATCCAAGCAACATCTCGTGTCGGCTCGCCGAGTCATTATCGGAGAGCCTTTAGCGCGCCCAAAATTGTTTGACAACGCTTTTTGAGCCTTAGCCTGGCAGTGCTCGAGTTGTCGAGTGGGTCGGGGCCCGGGCCGCACTCCACATCCCCAGAGAGGCCCGCCGTCGAAGGCGGGTTTTCTGGCTGACAATGGAAAATCCGATGCTGATTAGATTCCTAGATCTTCGTATGATGTAAGCGCATTCGAGCTCTCAAGCAAAGCTGCCGCATCCAGATCCGGCTCGTAATGCAGGCGAGGAGACTGCGGGAGTGATGGGCAACACGCATCGCCCACCCGTTCAGCCATATGTGTGCCACTCCTGCGGCATCCGGCTTTAGATTGTTTGTTTGCCCTGGCTTCGAGTCCAGAATCCGGCTGGACGAAATTTGCTTTGGCACAGCAGCGCTTCTTCTGGTGCAGCAGTGCAGGCTCTGGTTGGCGTCGTGAAGGCAGCCGTGGCGAGCGGCCAGGCCGGACTTTGACTTAGTGTCGTGGTATGATGAACGCTTGTGACAGCTGCTCGCGGTTGGCAGCTGCCCACATTGTCCATTTGTCGCAGCTTTTCAGAATATTTCAGAACCCTTGAGCTTACGAAGGCATGTTCAGCGCAGACCTAGACTGTAGGGCTGCTCACACATCAGTTCATGTGCTCCTGCCATCGAATCTTGGCTCTTTGACAGTAGCCGTAGCGGATGGTCAAAGCTGTGTTTGACCAAAGCCAAGGCTTTAGATCAGCACCCTGCTCTTTGCTGGTCTTGAAAGGTACCCCAAATCTACGACTTGCCCAGAGACACATGACATGCAAAAGTAGTTGTCCAGTTGCCTTGTCTCCTCTGCACAATGGTGGCGCATGGGTGGGCCGGGGCATCCAGTTCTGGCAGTTCGGCTGCTTTTGATTTTAGCAAACGTTGCGAGCACTGCGTTCCTGCATTGAGGGGTCGAAGAGCTTGTTTGGCTTGGACCGAGGATCTGGACAGCACCCTGTCAAGAAAGCACGTGCTCCTGTCCACGCCACGTGGTGTTATTGTAGTTTACGATCAGAAATTTGCGGTTGCCACTCAGGACCTCCTTTCTGTTCGGATGGTTGTGGAAAGATCCAAACTCGGACTTGGCTCCCGAGGCGAGGGCACCCTGTTAAGTGTATAAGGCCTACGCTTCTGCGCAAAGCGTCAGGCCCTCCTCCAACGCCTGCATCCAAAGCTGCGCGAAGAGATAGTCAAGAGGCCTGACGGATTGTGAGAAATTTGTATGATAATTTCTGAAAAGCCTCGCAAGCAGGCCCCGCTTGAAGAAATCATTCGAAGATGATGTCAGAGCGGTCTTCAAAGCCTACAAGAATCAAGCATCGCTCGAGGAGTTTAGAGAATTGGTGGACGGGAAGCTCGGCTGTGTTAACTCCCACGCCCTTTAAACGAAGCTTGCGATGTTTCTTCGTACTTACCTATACTTGGATGTGGCAGTGGCTCTTAGGAACATTTCCGACCTCAACCACAGGATCGAGGCAGAAGGGCCCCGACATATGCCACTCCCCAGAAAAGAGATCATGCATAAGAAGAGTGCAATGCCCATTTTGTTGCTTCCGAGAGTCTTTGAATCAAGGCGAGCGTTGATGAAGCACGCCAAAGAGTATTCGCAGCAAGCTCCCCAGTGCTTGTGTTACAAACAGCAGTTGTCCCTGGGAGACGTGGATGCCGATCTTGCCGCGTGTGACAAGGTACCATGGCATCGCCCATCCTCTGCTCTTCGCCCCACGAGCTGCATGCTGCAGCTTGGTGCTGCCAATCCCATTCCGAGGCCTCTCGCAGCATGTCGCTTTCTCTGCTCGCTCGCCTGAGCAATGAATCATTGAGCAGGCTGCGGCGAAGCGGCCCCACTGAGATACCGGAATCGGGATGGATGGCGCTTCCTGTGACGTTGATGTGGAGAGAGCATCTTCGTGGTGGCATCGATGCTGAAGTAGTGCCAGCAAAATGCTGGCCACCAAAGAGCAGCTCATTTGCCCGTGTGCACGTTGTAGAGAAGAAGCGAGGCGAAGCAAAGACCTCCATCATCTCGCGCTGTAGAGCGGAGTTGCCTGCGTGAACCCGCGACTGACCTGTAGTTCTTGACGGCCGCAGCCAGAAGAAAGGGGCTGTTATGCTGCATGTTGCAGTGTGGAGAGCCTGCCGTGGCTTTTGGGACGTGTCTGTCATGCTTGTAGCTTCAATTCGCAAACTATGGTGTGCTCAGCAGCAATCAATCATGCAATCGGCAAGTTCAACTTTGACTCGGAAGTCCGGAAAGGCCCAGCCTAACTGCCTAGCCTAGTGAGCACAGCACGTGGCAGGCTGTGACTGAGTACTTGCGGGAAAACACCGCCAAGTTTCTGGTCCGAAGCGCGAAGGCCGGACAAGACAACAAGGCTCAGGCTCCGATACAGCCGAGAGGCCTAAGGCTCAGACCTTAAGCCTTAAGCATCCTTAAGCTGTAAAGGCTTTGCGCTAGGGAAGTGTGCTGTGTCAGCGACACCTTTCTTGCCAAGCCGGATTCATCAGTCTTCCCAAGTCCGTCGTCATACGCGGGGGAACGTGTGGGTATACATCTTGTCGACTCCTCACCTGCTCGAGGAGCGCGGATCTCGGGACAACATCCTTGTGGTTGCCATCTTCTTTTAACATTCTCGGGCAGGGCGATGGATCACCTTGAGCGACCGACCCATCACATTGTTTCTGCTTCAGCCTAGAGGCGAGAGTTGGCAGATTCCACCACGCCCTGTGTTTCAAGGATGACACCAAATGACATTCCAACGTGGGCCGGATGTGGAAAACAGAGTACAGCAGGCACGGTTCAGTCACGGCATCTCACGTCAACTGCTAGTATACGAACAACTACGGAATTTGTAGTAGTATTAGTCTTACGCGGCAACATATGTCTAGTTAAAACAACATTGCGAACAAGATCACCCGGACCATTGCATGAACAAAGGCTCAGTTCCCGAAGGGCAACTGTGCAAATCTGTAGATTACGAATGTCTCAGTGGAGAAGTGCTTGAAAAGCGCCGAACTGGGATTGTAGCTCGGTACATGTCACTGAATCGATTTCAGTGGCGTGGTTGTCAGGTTGCGGATGTCCCTGACTCAATGCCTTCCAGCTGGCATTCGTCACAGAAGTATCGCCAAAAGTCACCTCCATCATTGAACTCTTCAACTACATCACCTACTAAACTACATGTTGTGTTTTCCAAGACGTGTGCGAAGCTCACTGCTAGTCTCGCCGCACAGCCAGGGCCAGAAAGTGCACCTGGAGCTTGTCGGCAAAGCGGCCTTCTGCGGATGCGAGCATACGCTTCAGCGCGACGCAGCGAAGCGTGTGACATTCAACGTCACAGTCATTAAGCGCGGCTAAGCAGGGCCGAAACAGCATCTTTATCGTTTCAGCCCGACGACATGCAATTCGTGTTCGCCTGCTTTGGATCTCTCGACAGCTTTAGATGGATTCATGGGAGGTTGCTGCGGCATGCTGCATTCGTTTCCTAGCGCGTTGCACAGACAGCTGGTCAACGTGATGGATGTATCAGAGCCAACCGTGCCCGGAAAAAGATTCGACTTTGTGTTCCCTTTCGCTTGAGCTCAGCTCTCTAGTCTCAAGTCGCGGCTTTAGTAGCGGTGTTCCAGCTGCCCCGATGCAGGAAACACAGCCGGGCGCCTTTTCGATGCCATGGTACGAGGGCCTCTCGGCCGAACTTTTTCGTTGTGGCAGTTGTCCAGCTGTTTACGTTGATGTACGAGGTGCATTCCGGCTCTGATGTTCCATCCGGACTCCTATCCAGCCCTGGGCCCAGAATTGCATGATACTCTGTTCTCTCTCGCTTCAATGCGCTCTATGAATCTCATGTGGGTACAACGACCCCGGGCCTCACAGAAAGTACATGCAGTGCATGCGACCAGATTTTTTTAGCAATGATGCACGAGATCATGTGATGTCTCATGGCCTCATTGCTTACCTCTGGTGCCACTCTCCCGAGACCCGGGCTGTGGGTCCAGCGTCTGTCCGTCCTTGTCCTTGTTGCCCTGATCCTCAACTGGGCCTCTGTCCCGAATCCTAAGCTGCAGTTGGAGGAATCTGCAAAGCCTTTTGCTTCCAACCTCAAGGCAGCATGACCCATGACATGTGACAACATGTAGTGGCCCAGAAGAGCCACGCCTCTGAGAAGCGCCTTCATTGTCCAGACCGTGCAAGTTGTGCTGGATCTCGAGGATGGCTGTTTATCATCCCTCACTGTCTCTTGAAGGTGCTTCCATTCGTGGCATGGATACCGTGGAACGAGTTTGCGATGGCACCTGCCTCAGACTGTGTGCCCTGTGCGCAGGCAACCTGCCATAAATAGTCTTCGCTATTCAGAACCTGAATCCGTGCATCTCAGAGCTGGTCCTGTGTAAAGTAGGGAGTAAATGTTGAAAGAACCGACTTCGGCTTCAAGTGTAAGACATGGCACTACTTCATATGGCTTCATGACAGCTCTGGCTAAACAATGAACAGACATGTTGCTCCATGGATGTCTGTTTGGACTCGGATGGTGTAGCTTGACCATGACTTGCCGTTTTTGGATCGCGACTGCGTGTCCGTGTTGCGTGTTGCATCCAAGCAAACAGAATCGATGCGAGCCGGGCAGGGTATGCAAAGGCACTCAGGGGCAAGCTGCACAGGCACAGTAGCCGAACAAGAGGAGTCACGTGAGCATAGATGCCCACCTGCTGTGCTTCGAGAAAAAGCCACATCCCTAAAGCTCTCTGGAATGATGCTCCTCTCCGTCTTGAGATCATCTGGAGGGCGCCTGGGCAAAACTAGCAGGCAGTAAGTTGCCACCTCCTTGTCTCTCAGCGTAGCAAATGCTGCGTCCCCTCTTGAGATGACACCACGGTGCTGAGGGTGCCGAAGCACAGTGATTCGTGCAATCTGTAACTCCTGTGCACATCGGCTGAGGTCTTCCCCATAGAGAGCGAGGTCTCGAGTCAGATTCGGCTCGTTGCGATTTCGGGATTTCGGGGGCGAAGCTGAAGCGCATCCAGGATGATGCTGCCACAGCACTCCATTCGCTCCTCGCAACTTCCGAAGAAGACCGGCAGATGCGGCGGAAGAGGACAGACTTACAGTCGTCACCCCATGGCTGTTGCTGGTTTGCAGAGGACTCTTCAGTATGCACCAATGATTTCTTTGGCGCTGCAGAACTGTCCGGAGCAGGCAGATGCAGAATGATGCAGTGCCAAAGAGCGATACACTCCCAAGAGCAGTACATGGTTACTCCCTGGCCCAGATCACCGGCGCCTTAGACCTGGTGTCAAAGGAGCTGAAGGAGAAGGCACTCGCGGCGATTGCTTATGGAGGCACTCGCGACTTTTTGGCAGCCCTAGAAAGGTCGGCCTTCTGAACTCGGCCTTAGCAGGCTCTGGACTGTGGGCATGTCTCCGTCATGTCGCCCATTGGCCCATGTTTTCTTGACCTCCTTGTGTTTTGCTTGGGAGGTCTCCGCATCGCAGCTCCACCGGCAGACGAGTGGCTCGCTCAGCTTGCGCTGATGATGGTGCACTCGACAACGAGTCAGTACTCGGAGAGCGGTGAGTCGACGGTAAAGCTCGTTCTCTGACCGGTGCAATTCAGGAGCCACTGGCTTCGCTGGGGGCCATCGCATGCTTGACTCCAGCATGGAAGGACGCAAGTGGATGATTTGCAAGCTAGGCTACGGGTCACAGCACTTCTGCACGGCCACAACAGTCAACCACTTGAGAATAAAGGTCTTCACTTCTATGGTTCTGGCAAGGACGGCCGGTACTTGACTTGTGCAAGCAGCTAGCTCGTCGCAGAGCCAGGCAGGGCCCATGCTGCGTTCTAGATTCTATGGACGCCGTGGGCAAATCAAATCGACATGCAGCAAGAATCGCTGCTGGTCGGTACAACCAGAGATGCCAGATGATGCCAGGCTGAATGTCTGCACCGCATGAGCCATCCTGCTGACTAGCCGGTCCTTTTCTCAGATGATAGCCGAGACGCATTGGAAGGCATCGACGAGCATGATCCTTCTCGGCCGGGAAGGCTTGGAGTCGGAGATTCGAAGTCGAGTGTAGGAATAGATTAGCATAGCAGCATAGTGTCCGACTTGTCTCGCGCATTTCCTGGCTTGTCCGAGAGTCTCGGGGAAAAGTCTCCCACCAAGCGGGAGGCGAAATTGATTGCTAGCACAAGAACAAGATTTGGGTGAAGGCGGAATGCCCGGTGACAGGCAAAACCCCTGCCACCGTCACACGAAGGATTAGCTCCAAGAGAAAAACATCAGAACTCGGGAGCTTGGCAAAGCGGCGTAGTAGTTGGAAGTGGCTACTTGCGCAAGATGCTGCATAGTAAAGCCTTCCACGAATTCATTTGTTGCTGGCCTCTTGCTCGCCTGATGTCGTCACAACCCAAGCTAACCTCAACCACCCATTATGTCTCGCTGCCTTGCTGTGCTGCGAGGCGCAAGAAGCTGAACATGGTGTCAGCCTGAGCCGGTCCAGCACGTATCAACAAGCCTTGACAAGCCAATGGCGTCGCATACGAGCAAGATCTCAGCATGGTGTCTTCATCATATGGGGTGCCGCGCTCAATCGCAGGTCATTATACTCCAAGCTACCTGGTTCTTGCCGCCCGTGTCGGCAGCGATGGGGCGACCAAGGTCATGCCAGTCGTGCCCTCAATGTGTGGGTGGTTAAGACGCATACTGTGATGGCCTGAGTCGCAAGTGCCAGGGCCATGTGGTTGTCCCAGACTTCCCCGCAATCCCTGCACCATGAAATGCTGACCCAGCGGACTACTACCTCAGAGAAAATCACACGAAAGATTTGGTTTCGTGGTCAGCTGCTGTACATGCAGTCAAGCAGCAGATGGTCCGAAGCACGAGTGTGTAGACTGCACGCGCTGTCGATCGCTGTCGTTGTTATTTGGAGCTTCCGCTGCTTCGCCAACTCTTCCAGTAGTCCTGGTGACCGAGGCTGGTTCCTACGACTCGGCCACGTCTCGTTACGCTACGTGTGGTAAGCGAGGAGCCAGCGCTGTAAGACGTCCAGAAGTAGCAGCAAACTACTTATGAGCTCTGCATTTCAGCAGGCACATGTTCACATGAATGCTTGCTTAGTCTATGTAGCAGTTGTAATCAGTGTATATACATGAACTACAGTTTCGTTCATACTGTCTCATTCGGACTCGATGTACCTTAGTTATACTGCGCCAAAACTGGGAGGAGGGGGGGGAGGCTGGCAATCACAGGCAAGCAAGGGGTGCGTAGGAACGGCAGCTATGGAGGAAAGGGAAGGCAGGACTTTCAGAAAGACAGAGACAGGGTGGCAAGCGACGGGGGGAGAGGGGGGGGTGGAGGGGTCGCAGATTGAAGAGGAGGATTAGGTGGAGGGTACCTAGCTTAAGACTATGGGGACCCCCTCGTAAAGGTACTGGCTGGGGGGGGTTACATAGGGTGCGACCTATTTCCGGGACTATTTCCGTGAGAGTGGGGGGAGTGAGTAGAAATAGGTACCGGGGCGAAACAGAAATAGGTACGAGGTGGCGGAATGCAGGGTTTCATTTCTCTCCATCTCTCTCTCTCTCTCTGTCTCTCTCTCTCTCTCTCTCTGTGGACCTCCTACCCAGTACCTATTTATGCTTCTTCCTTAGTTAGGAGGTCCCAAGTCCGGCTGCAGGGAACCCGGGAAATAGGTACCGGCCCACAGCGCCGCTATAGTAGTTTTCTTAGCCTCTATAGTAAGAAGAGTGGAGTGGACCCCCCAGCCCAGTACCTATTTGTGCTTCTGCGGCGCCCTTAATGCATGGTTTCCAAGGAAGGAGTAGTGGGGAATGCCTAGGATGTAACTACATACGAATACCGAGGAGATACCCAAGTCCGGCTACGGGGAACCCCGGAAACAGGTACAAGCCCACACCGCCGCTATAGTAGTTTTCTTAGCCTCTATAGTAAGAAGAGTGGAGTGGACCCCCCAGCCCAGTACCTATTTGTGCTTCTGCGGCGCCCTTAATGCATGGTTTCCAAGGAAGGAGTAGTGGGGAATGCCTAGGATGTAACTACATACGAATACCGAGGAGATACCCAAGTCCGGCTACGGGGAACCCCGGAAACAGGTACAAGCCCACACCGCCGCTATAGTAGTTTTCTTAGCCTCTATAGTAAGAAGAGTGGAGTGGACCCCCCAGCCCAGTACCTATTTGTGCTTCTGCGGCGCCCTTAATGCATGGTTTCCAAGGAAGGAGTAGTGGGGAATGCCTAGGATGTAACTACATACGAATACCGAGGAGATACCCAAGTCCGGCTACGGGGAACCCCGGAAACAGGTACAAGCCCACACCGCCGCTATAGTAGTTTTCTTAGCCTCTATAGTAAGAAGAGTGGAGTGGACCCCCCAGCCCAGTACCTATTTGTGCTTCTGCGGCGCCCTTAATGCATGGTTTCCAAGGAAGGAGTAGTGGGGAATGCCTAGGATGTAACTACATACGAATACCGAGGAGATACCCAAGTCCGGCTACGGGGAACCCCGGAAACAGGTACAAGCCCACACCGCCGCTATAGTAGTTTTCTTAGCCTCTATAGTAAGAAGAGTGGAGTGGACCCCCCAGCCCAGTACCTATTTGTGCTTCTGCGGCGCCCTTAATGCATGGTTTCCAAGGAAGGAGTAGTGGGGAATGCCTAGGATGTAACTACATACGAATACCGAGGAGATACCCAAGTCCGGCTACGGGGAACCCCGGAAACAGGTACAAGCCCACACCGCCGCTATAGTAGTTTTCTTAGCCTCTATAGTAAGAAGAGTGGAGTGGACCCCCCAGCCCAGTACCTATTTGTGCTTCTGCGGCGCC